TTTCAAAGTTAAAAAGAACAGAAGCTTTAAGATAAAAGAATAGCACAGATTATGGCTAAAATATGTTTGTTTTATAAATTTTATTTATATTTCAACGTGTTCACAACAAGCGGGGATAGCTCAGTTGGGAGAGCGTCAGACTGAAGATCTGAAGGTCGCGTGTTCGATCCACGCTCACCGCATGATTTTGTTCTATTTCCTCGTGCGTAAATTCTTTATACGACGCCGTATCAAAAACCATTGCCCGTATTACTATGACCCGGTCCACTACAAGTACTTTTATCCATATTAAAGTTTTCACAACTTGCGGGGATAGCTCAGTTGGGAGAGCGTCAGACTGAAGATCTGAAGGTCGCGTGTTCGATCCACGCTCACCGCATATATTTCTTCCATCTTCTTCCGGCATGTATTCTTCATACGACGTCGTCGCATTACCATTTCCCGTATTATTATGAATGTTTTCCAAAAGTATTTTTTAATTAGTTTTTTCTTTTATTTTTGCTTTTGAGAGTGTGCTCCAATTTATTGATTATGATTTTTATATTTTTTAAATAAACATTTATATTCGTATCTAAATTTTAAAAGCAAAATTAATCTTTCAAATCTAAAAATTTAAATGTAAATAATAAAAAAAATTCATGAGTCAAAATAATATTTATAGAATTAATTTTAAAATATTAATCAATTACAAAGATCGATAATAAAATTTTAAAAAAATTATTTTTGTTTTTGAAATTTTTGTTAAAAACTCAAATATGTTTTAGAGGGATGAAAACTAGTAATAGACCATTTAATTTTTATTTTTTTTTTATACCAAGTATAAATATATTTTTTAAAATTATATTAATTTGTTAATTTGAAGTGACAATTTTTTTTTAAATATATTTATAGACAAAACTTATTATTATTAACTTTTACCTAAAAATAAGAAAGAAAAAGTTAACAATGACAGTTACACATAATTGAACGTACGGAGGAAACTATAAAAATACATCAAACTTAAAGAAGGTTTATATGGAAATTTCGAGTTATGTATACTTTATGTGCAAATTTGGAAAAGTAGCTATAAAAATGTATTTTTAGATAAATAGCTCTAAAAAGGTAAATTTGGAAAATGAATCCACATAAGATCCAATTTGCAAAGATAACTCCATTAATGTTATAATTCGCAAAAGTAACCCTAACAAATTAATTTGCAAAAATGGCCCTAAAGTTTGTAAATTTGAAAAAAATAACCTCATAATTACCCAAATTTAAAATTTATCCCATAGTAATAATTTAGAAGTTAGTTAATAAGATAACAAAAATGGTCATTTGTTTATGATGAATTTGGGATATGTATGAAAGTTATTAATTTAATAATTAAAGAAAATTTTGGATAATTTTCAAATGTTCATCTATTAGATTTTAGACAAATGGACCAACGTGAATTTCAAATTTGAGAAAGTTTAAATGGTAAGAAAAATAAAACCAAAAACTAAAAATCGCTCTTATTCAGTTACACTAACTTTTGAGGTTCAAAACTTTGACTACAAAATTCTTCCACCATAGTTTGATTCGTGTTATGAGTCTGATAACAATTGATTTATTAATTAATTAATCCTTTTAAAATTATTTTTGGATAATCATAATATAAATTTTAAAATTATTTTTGGATATAAAAATCATGACAGAAGGCAGGGATAGCTCGATCTGAAGGTTGCGTGTTCGATCCACGCTTACTGCATAATTATGTTCTATTTTCTTCCAAAGTATATTCTTCATACGACGTCGTCTCATTACCATTGCCCATATTATTATGACCCGGTCCACTAGAAAAGTGTTGGTATATTTATTAATTTTAATCGATATAATATTGAATTAAATTATAATAAATTGAAGTTGGAAGAGAATAAAATTATTTTTTAACAAAAAGATATTTATAATAAAATCGATATCAGTATGGAATATAAATAAAAATAATATTATTATATAAAAAAGTATAAAGTTCACCACATTATGCGGGGATAGCTCAGTTGGGAGAGCGTCAGACTGAAGATCTGAAGGTCGCGTGTTCGATCCACGCTCACCGCATACTTTTCCCGATTTTCTTCTGGCGTTCTTTCATACGACGTCGTCTCGGAGCCCAGTTTTGAATTTTACGATGCCAATTGAAAAGTGCATATAATAAGCCAAAATAGAAAAGTATTTATTTGATTATTTAATGCATTTGATGCATGGTCAACTCTCACCAAAAATGGCATGTTTCTCAAATGTCATTATTTCAACAAAGCCTGGAGCACAGAACAAGAAGCAAAAAGGCAAAGATAAATGCATGGAAGCCATCTGTGGTCTAAAACTGTGAATCTCTTATCCTTTATAACACATAAACTAAGCTGATCTCTATGAAACTTTTACAGCCAAATCAAAGGGTGAAGAAGCCATGGTTATGAAGGAGGCTAAAGCTGAATCAAAACTTGGGGTCGAAATTGAAACCCTTTGGAAAGCATTGGCTAAAGACTTGAGATTTATCATTCCACAGCTCATGCCCGGCACCGTTGAAAAAATTGAGCTCCTTCATGGAGATGGCGGCGTTGGCTCTATCTTGCTCTTCCATCTTGTTCATAGTGAGTTCATGCTCTTAATTCACCTAATTTCCTTACTTCTTTTGGTCTTATAATATGAGTTTTTGTAGAGGAGGAAGCGATGAGGAGCCAGAAGGAAAGGATTGTGGAAGTTGATGAAACAAAGCATGAACTTGTGATAGAAGTGTTGGAAGGGAATGTATTGAAAAGAGGATTTTCTTCTTTCGAGACAACGTTTAAGCTGTCCTCTTTGAGTGAAAAGGAAAGCCTTGTGGATATCAAAGTTGCTTATGAGACTGAAAAAGATGGAGAAGATGAACAAGCTCGCATGGACGCAATTGCAACTGCCCCACCTCTTTATTTTCTTCAACTCTTGGAAAACTTTCTTCTTCCTACATCAAATACTTAAAACCGCTCGTCTTCTAGGAAAAGATAGGTCTCAAATGTGATGCGACTGCGGTTAAGAGTATTTAACAAATACTCAAGTCATGTGCTACTTTCTTTTCAAATAAAAGTAGACATTAATAAGTTAAGTGTTGGGATTTATGCCCTAAAGCTTCGTAATTAATTATTTAGTTTCTAATAATAATTTTTATTATTTTATTTGTAATTTAATTGTTATTGATCGTATGAAAATCCAAGGTTATTAATGTAATCTTGAATCGTAAGTGGTTGACATAGAGGAGGATGATGTTCAAGTAATAACCTAAAGGGTCTATAGTATATGGATAAGGTTGGATGCCTTATCCTATCTATTGATACGGCCCACTAGGTAATTATTGCAAATGATTTGATCCAAATCATTCCTGTGCATACATGTAAGCGAGGTATCCTATACAATGAGTTTATATAAGACTAGACCAAGAAATATTTAATCACTCTTCATAAATCTGTTAATTGAGAAGATTAATATTTCACAAGATGATCATATGCGACTTGATCTTAATCCTGAGTGAGTTATGAACTCTTGCCTTTGATTTACATGGATGTGAATGACTTTTTTTAGCCGATTCAATATGCTTACCATTTCGAGGACTTGACGAAATTGAGAGTTGGGAACATAATATCATGAGATGAAATTCACTCCTTTCCATATAAGGAAAGTAGATGAGTTGTTGTCTTTAAGTACTGAGAACTTAAATAATGGGCCCCACCCTCTCATTGGCTCGAAAGGGACTTGGTCATAAACAAATTGTTCATTATAGAATTAGTGGTACTTAAAGGTGAAAGATGTAATTATAGGGGTAATACGAACATTTGACATAGCTGTAATTATGAACAACTTGTGAAGGATCAACTTGCTTGTAATGATTATATCAATGGACATAACTTGTCCTACAATGCATAAGAGTGCAAGTCCAGATCTACGGTGGAGTGACCGATAGTTAATGAATTGATTAATTAAACAGTTTAATTAATTAATTAATTTTATATCATTGTAGTTTATAATCGATAGGTCTATAAGGTCCCCTTGCTAGCTTAGAATAACGTTAGATATATTAAATATAAAAGAGAAAATAAATTTCATTTGAAATGTCAAATTAATATTTAATATATTAGATATATTAAATAAATAGAAAAAAATATTTAATTTGAAGTGTTCAAATTAATATTTAATATATTAGATATATTAAAGGAAAACTATATTTATTATATTTGATAAATTAAATATTAAATCAATTAATGTATTTGATATATTAAATAATAATATATTTGAAACTTGAATGAGGTTTAAATTAGTTAAATATATATTATGATATTTTATAATATTTAAATATGATTTGTATAAAATATTATATAGGTATGCAAATATATTATTGGGCAAAATTCTACCAGAGTTAGTCAAATGAAAATATTTGCTAAACCCATGCCATAAATAAATAGTCTGAAAGTTCTCTATTTATAATCAAATAAATTAAAGGATATGAGAAAGAGTAATAAATTGAAAGAAATAAATGAAAGACACGTGTGTAAAAGATATTTGTTTTAATAAAATATCAAATATAATATATATAATTTAGTACTAAATTTTCACCCTGCAAACTGAGCGTCATATTTGAATGAACATGAAGCTTGGAATTGAAAAATTCAAATAGAGGTCGAGAAACACTTTTCATGAAAATATTAACCACCTAGTTTAGAAGAGACGTAGAAAAACACTTTCTTAGGAATCGAAAACTGCAAAGGGATCATTGCTCAGCGACAATGTTGCCTTGGCTCCAACTAAAATATGACTAACCCACAAAGTAACAAAGTAGAAGGGAGAAACATAGAGGAAGGAGAAGAGAGAGAGGGTCATTTGAAGGGACTTGGTCATAAGATTTCCATATCCCATAAGATTTCCATAAGGTGTGGACTACAGAGATTTAAGGTAGAGGCTTGAGAATTAGGGCAATGACTCTGTTTTAAGAAAGGGCAAGAGACAGATAGAGAGTCATGTTCCCTGCAAAAGACGAAGATGGTGTTAAAGCTGGAATAGTCGTCACAGTGGGGGGTGAGGGAGCCGATTTTGGAGAGGAGGCCGGCGGTGACTTAGTTGGTGAAGAGACCAGTGCGGCGCCCGAATTCCGAAGGTAAATTTTTGCAGAAGATTGATGGATTTGTTGAAATTCGATATAGTTCTAATGAGAATGCTGATGAGGATCCTGAGGTTAAGGTTTTTGTGAAGAATGAAGGGTCAATTAGGAAGAAAATAAGAGAGGCTATGTTGGCTAAGGGAAAACTGATTATGTTGGAAAAAGTGAAGTTGTATGTACAAAATATGATGAAGAGTGATTTGGAGGTCAAAAGGGTGGAACCCAAGAGTAATCAATCAGCTCCGCCAGCAGCAGCCATAAAAACTGCCCCTACGGCATCAAAGCCAGCAGTGGTGGTGGAGAAGAAGAGTAAAGATTTAGAAGCCATTGATAATAATAAAGGATAGAGGTTGCTAAACCAAAAGGGCACTGATACAACAGAATGTTTGCTAAAACCACACCATAAATAATGTAAAAGTTCTTTATTTATAATCAAATAAATTACAAGAATATAGAAAGAGGTAAGAGATATTTGAAACATATATCTATCACTGATTGATATAAGTTTTCTATCATATATGCATAAGAATGAGTTCTAATAAATCTAGCACTGTTAAGATCCGTGAAGATAAAGATTTGTTATGGTATCTGTCGATTGACATATTCGATGATCCTGTGTCGTCGTTAACCATTGTGATATTGGTGTCATAAATTCTACGAATATAATATATCTCCATGCTGAATATACAATCGTCCCATGCCCTTTCAACCGACTCTCATTAAGCTTGTTATTGACACCATCGACCCCACCCTTGATTCTATTTTTATCTTTGCTTTTGCTCGACTTTCTTGAACATTAGTGTATGCACTGTTTTTCTTAATCGCGTCACGATATTTCTCTTTTCAACCACTTATTTCGTCCTATTTATTTATCGCTTGTTGACGTGTTTGCTCGCTTGGGAGGAGTTGTTAACCCACTCTCTTAGAGTAGGTTCGAGACAACAGAACCATTCTAAAAAGTTGAACTAAAATAAACATTTTTTTAAACAGTATTTTAGGTAAAAAAAAAACAAAATATAAGCTAACAAATTAGAATTAAAATGTGAAAAAGCATATACTATATTACATATAACAGTGGCCCTTGCAAATATTGGAACATCTAGAAATTAAAATATAGAATATGTTACAATAATACAATATATATAGTCCAAATTGATGATGTGAGAGATTATAATATGAAGATTAAGAATATAAAACATGTTTTTAAGATGATGAATGAAGAAGAAACTTTTCCAAGAGTTGAAGAAATGAAAGAGCTGGCTTTGTTGCTGCTTCCTTCATCTCAACTTCATCTTCACCATCTCTTTCAGTCTCATAAACAACCTTGATATCTACTAAGGTTTCCTTCTCTCCCATGGAGGAAAGATTGAATGTTGTCTTGAAAGAAGAAAACCCTCTTTTTAACATAATTCCTTCCACCACTTCTAGCCCAAATTCATGTTTTGTCTCGTCAAGTTCTACGATTCTTTCTTTCTGGGTTTTCATTATCTTTACGTCTGCAAATCTTTCTTTTTTGTGAGTCAATAAGATCGATTGGTTCAAAATCGAACATTAAACATTACATTGGAATCATGGGTTGTCAAAATTAGTGCAACTTATTTTAGATGAAATTAGTCAAGTTATTAAGCCATTCGTCTTTTTTGGAGAGGAATAGTTTATTTCAGTAGAGTTTGTGTTTTTTTGGAGAGGAATAGTTTATTTCAGTAGAGTTTTTGTAGGAGCTATTTATAGAATAGTTTATTTCAGTAGAGTTTGTGTTTTGTTGGAGAGGAATAGTTTATTTCAGTAGAGTTTTTGTAGGAGCTATTTATAGGATTTATTTTTGTTTAAATAGTAGCTTCCACTTAGTAAAACCGTTCATTATTTCAGTTGTCCCTAATTTTATATTTATTCACACCTTTGAGCAATTGTGACAGGGGTGTGACATTCATACATTGAAAAATCATTAAAAAATTATTAATCGTGGAGCATTTCTAAGAGAATGGTTAGTAATTAAACATTACTAAACATTTCTAAGAGAATGGTTAGTAATTAAAGTACTACAAAGCTCATAATTGGCTTATTTTGATGTTGTAATCGGTTTTTTTTCCCTAATTGAACTGGAGCACAAGAGTTTTGGGGAGACGGTTTACTCTAAAGTTGAGATTGCGGATAGGTTTAGAAGTAGCAGGTTGTTGCTGGTGGGTAGTGCGTTTTATGAGCATTTCTTTCTGTTTCGATTATTCGTTTTGGTAAAATTTAATCGAGGGTCAAAACTAACGTTTTTTACCTCATCGGAGTATGTACAAAGATCTTAATTATAAGTAAGAAACAACACAAAATAAGAAGAAAAATAGTCGATGTGGAATTATATGGAAGATGAAGAACTCACCGGGGCCAAGATGGAAGAGCAAGACAGAGCCAATGCCACCATTTCCATGAAGGAGCTCAATGTTTTCAACGGTGTTGGGCATGAGCTTTGGAATGATGAATCTCAAATCTTCAACCAAAGCTTTCCAAAGGGTTTCAACTCCAACCCCAAGTTTTGCTTGTGCTGTAGCCTCCTTGACCATGGCTTCTTTTTGTTGGGTTGCCTGTAAATTACAAAGAGATGAGTTTATAAAAGGAGAGATATTTTGGGGTAAGAGATTGAGCACTACATGACAACTCGACACGACAAATGGGCATCCATTATTGTCGTTTGTTCGCACATGGTCTTTGTTTTTTTCTTTTGTTTCTTTTGCAATGTTTGGGTTATGGAGAAGAAATCCACGGGTCAAGTTCGGGTCAGGATTGAACTCAAATCCGACATCCCGTTCACGAACCACGTCCAGTCAGCGCTCCAGATCCAACACAATCATCACCCAGCCCACAGGCCGAATAACAGGCCGAATAACTGTAAGTTTCAGAGACTTGGCAAATGCACCACAATCATCTGTCTTTATTCATAGGTTACAATGCCTTTTTATAGGAAATACATAAAAATAGAGAAAAAATGGAAAAATACATAACACGACTCAACTAGCTCCACTAATAACAAGATAATAGCTAACAGAAATTGACCGATTCTAAACCTAGAGAATATCTTTATTAAAATAATCTAAAACTGACTCAACACTTCCTCCCTTAAACTGAACTCGATCAAGAGTTTAGTTCATAACACTCATGCCAAATGCTTCTTTGATCTTTTGAAATGATGTCATCTTCAAAGGCTTTGTCATTACGTTGGGTCAGCTGCTCCTCAGTGTTGCAATAAACCAATTTAACTACACCTTCCTTTGTCAATTCTCTAAGAAAATGGTATCGAACCCTTATGTGCTTTGACTATCCGTGCATGACTGCATTTTTTGACAACTTGATAATGGACGTGTTGTCTGAAAACAAAGCCATCTCTTCATCTTGTTCATCTCTGATTTCTTTCAATATCCTTTTCATCCAAATGGCTTGACAAGCACATGTAGCTGCTGCTACATACTCTGCTTCAGTGGTTGACAAAGTGACGATTGGTTGCTTCCTTGAGGACCATGCCGCATCTCCTCCACTCATTAAGAAAACATAGCCTGAAGTTCTCCTACTGTCATCCACATCTCCCACATAGTTACTATCGGTGTAGCTTGAGAGTTCACTCTTCCCTTCACGTTGATACCATATCCCAAATTCCAGAGTTCCCTTCAAGTACCTCATGATTCTTTTTGCAGTAGCAAAGTGCAACTCTGTAGGATTTGCCATAAAATGACTAATAAGACTTACCACAAACATCAAGTCAAGTCTTGTGGCTGTAAGATACATTAAGTTGCCCACCATTTGCTTATATAGCGTTGAATCGACCTTCACACCAGCTTAATCTTGACCAACCTACTGTCCAGGGACTATCAGATTGCAAACAGAGTTGTAATTTTGCATCCCAAATCTCTCGATCGACTCAACAACATATTTTCTTTGACATATAAAGATGCCATCAGCCTTCTGCATCACTTCAATGCCAAGAAAATATCTCATCTTCCCCAAATCAGTCATGTCGAATTCATCCATCATGGAGCGCTTAAACTCATTTAACAACTCCTCATCATTACTAGTGAACAATAGATCATCAACATAAATGCTCACAATTAGAATTTTACTTCCCTTTTGTTTGATGAATAATGTTTGTTCACTAGAGCTCCTTACAAAACCTTCCTTGACGATATAAGCCTCAATGCGACTGAACCAAGCTCTAGATGCTTGTTTTAGTCTGTAAAGAGCCTTGTGCAGCTTATAAACCAAGTTCTTCTTCCCTGCTACTTCATAACCTTGTGGTTGTTCAACAAATACATCTTCCTTCAGCTCACTAGGTAGAAAAGCAAATTTGACATCGAGCTGATAGATTCCCCATCCTTTTTGTGCTGCTATAGCAATGATCATTCTCACTGTATCCATTTGAGCCACTGGTGCGAATACCTCTGTGTAATCTACTACGTACTCTTGAGCATACCCTTTTACAACCAGCCGAGCTTTGAACTTGTCTACCTTTCCAAATTCATTTAATTTGGTCTTGTAAATCCCTTAACCCCAATAGCCTTGGCTCCAACGGGACGTGCAGTCAGCGATCACGTGTGGTTCCGCTCGAAGGACTGTATCTCAGCATCCATCGCTTGTTTCCATTTCTGATGTCCTGCGGCTTTTTGAAAACTGGTCAGATCTGATATGGCCATGAAAGCTAGAGTTTCAATCTCGACTCTAGCCATTTTTGCTTCTTCCTCTGTATCTGATAGCCCTTCTCCTGTGATATAATATGCAGACCAGATTGGTGGTTTTCTCACCCTGCCCGTTATTGTTGTTGTTTCTCCAGTTGGTGGATCGTTTGGTGAAGGAACGTCATTAGTGTATTCTTTTGCTTCTTTCACTTCCTCTGCATTCTCAACATTTTCATAATCATTTTCCCACTCAAGTTCAATGCTTTCTTCACCAGAATAACCAACATCTTCCCAATTCCACTTCTTATCTTTCTCAAATATCCCATCTCGACTGATGTGAACCTTTTTCTCTACTGGATTGAACATCTTAAACCTAACAGAACACACTTCACGCTTTTGTCATCGAGCTTGCTTCTTTTAACATTAGGGATATGAACATATACGATACATTCAAAAATCCTAAAGTGTTTGACTGATGGCTTTCTTTCACTCCATGCCTCTTTCGGAGTCATATATTTTACAATGAGAGTAGGAGATCTGTTAAGAATGTGATATCCCCATTGCACAGCATCTGGCCAGAAAACTTTTGGTACCTCCTTCTCCAATAACGCTGCTCTCACCTGTTCATGATTGCACGCTTTTTGTGTTCAGCAACGCTATTTTGCTGAGGCGTGAAGGAGGTGGTCAGCTGTCTTTTGATTCCATGTGCTTTACAGAATTCCTTGAATGCAATTGAGTTGTATTCTCCTCCTCTATCTGTTCTTAGATATTTGATGAACAATCCAGTTTGCTTCTCTACAAACGCTTTGAATGCCTTGAACTGATGAAATGCTTCTGATTTTTCTAGCACAAAATATATCCATGTTTTTCTCGAGAAATCATCAATAAAGCTTATAAAGTACCTTATTTGAATGTTTGATGGTGGATTGATCGGACCATAGAGATCAGAGTGGATAAACTGCAATCTTTCAGTGACTCTCCATTTGCTCTGCTTTGAAATGGAACACGGTGGTGTTTCCCTTTGACGCACGCCTCACAGGTGGTTTTCACATCTTCAATTTTAGGTAAACCCACAAACCATCTCTTTACTGCATAATGTGTGAAGTCCCTTGTAGCTGAGATGCCTATATCGATGGTGCCACAACTCTGCCTTGTCTGAGATATCAACTTAGACATCTCTCCTCCTTTATTTTGTCATTTGATTCACCTAGCAGGATAAACATCCTAGTAGCACTCATAACAAATTCTGCTATTTTTCCTCTTGAGGGATGAAAGATGCTGCATGTGTTTAGATCTCCTCCTTTGAATGACACGTCTAAACCCCTTTCTTGAAGTTATCCAACACTAAGCAGGTTGTTCTTCAATTCCGGAATATAATACACATCATTGATCACATAATTCCCTTAAGCATTATTTTCACTACTCCTTTCCCACCAACCATCAGTTTGTGATTGTTCCCAAGCTTGACATTATGTGTGAAGCTAGTGTCCAAGCTTGAAAACATACCTCTTTCTCCACACATATGGTTTGAACATCCAGAATCCATGAACTACACATCTCCTCTTTTAGTGTCTTGAAGCTCCACAAACGTCATGATAAGAACTTCATCCTTTTATTCGATCTCTGCAAAATGTGCTCCATTGTTCCCATTTGGACATTCATATTGGAAATGTCCAAGTTGGTGGCAGTTGTAACACTCGATTGTTGCTTTGTTGAATAAGCGTCCTCTGTATGATCCTCTGCCTCTGCCTCTGACATGTAGACCTTGATCACCTTCTTCATGACTGATCTTCTTAAATTTCTTTTCATGTACAGACAGAGAGCTTTGCAGTTCGTCAATCATTATTTTTCCTGTGTCTTTTGACTCCTCAATGGACACCACCATATATGTGAATTTGTCAGTCAGAGTTCGAAGTATTTTCTCAACAATCTTCGAATCTGACATGTCTTCTCCGTTGCTTTTCATCTTGTTGGAGACAACCATTACTCTTCCAAAATAATCTTCGATGTTTTCTTCATCATTTCAATAACTTTGAAATCTCTTCTTAAGGTTTGGAGAAGAGACCGCTTCACCCTTTCGTTGCCTCCAAACTTTTTCTTCATCGAATCCCAAATGATGTCGGATGTTTTGCGATACAAGATCTGTTTAAACACAATCCGATCAATTGCCTGGAACAGGTAGTGCTTCACTTGATGCTTCTTCATCTTGAGCTCCTCAAGATTCCTTTTCTGTGCTGCAGTCACCTCAATTCCCTCTGCCGATTCGGTGTAACCCTCTTCCACTAGACTCCATAAACCCTTGGCACGCAAGAGGTTTTCCATCAGTTCACTCCAATGGTCATAGTGACCATCAAACTATGGAATCTTGGTGAGTGTTTTGTCGTCGCTCATTTGCTCTCTTGGATCACTTTGTTTTGCTTTGGCTCTAATACTAAATGATAACGGTATGTTTCAGAGACTTGGCAAATGCACCAGAATGATCTATATTTATTCATAGGTTCCAATGCCTTTTTATAGCAAATACATAAAACGACAGAAAAACGAAAATACAGGGCATGATTCAACTAGCTCCACTAATAACAAGAAAATAGCTAACCAAAATTGACCTGTTCTAAACCTAGAGGATAGGTCTTTATTGAAATAATTTAAAACTAACTCAACAACGCCTGTTTGGCCCAACCTAGCACACAACACAAGCCTAGAATGCAAGGCGCCTTGCCCCGCAACTTGCACCTCAACTCGAGACCCAGCTGCATCCCTTCCACGTATGGTGCGGATGCCAAGCAATTCCCCAAATCGCAGCTTGCTCTCAGCTCGCGTGCGGCTTGGTTGAGTCGTTCCTCTTGCGAAGGCTTCAGCAACTCTATTTCGACTCCCGCTCAGATTAGACAAATTATTCGGCTTGAGTTGGACTTTTGAATCCGTTTCTTACATTTTCAACCT